GCCATAAATAATCGAGTCTGGGCCAGACAATTGAGTGATTAACAGCAAAAGCATCGATATACGCAAGTGGGATACGATGACAAGTGACAACCAAGTCAGCGAGTCTGACCACCCGATCCCGTTTGTCGCCTCTAACGACAAGCATGAGTTACTTAAGACAATTCTAACCCGGATCTTCAAGGGTTTTTCACACAATGGCGATATTATCTTGTACCATGTAGACCTTTCTCATGCACCTATAGTCATGTTTGCCACAAATGATGTCATTCATTCTGATTATTTTATTATACCATCTTTATTTCCACAGTGCAATGTATGTAGAATACATTCACAATATACATACACTCAATATACTTTTCACAAATCACCATCATTTGTAACAATGAATATATATCTTTGAATATGTTTCCATACTTTATCTCTGTGTATTCAATAGTGGTAATAGTGAATGAATAAACTTACACTATGTTTTTTCCCCTAATATTCTCAGTAAATAGATTGTGGAAGGATGACCAGAAGGTAAAGAACTCGCTGTTACTGCATGTAGAGTAAGCATTATATTTTGTAATTGCATAGTATTTTGATATCCCCCCTACTACATGCTTGAAATTTGGAACTTGTTGTTTTAATTTTTGTGTACATATTACCTGTTTCACAACGAGACATATTGCATTCAAAGAATTATTATTTTTCCCTGTAGATCCAAGTAAAAAGTTTTCTGATGTAAAGTCGATGTTGCCCTAAGTTACAGTCATTAGCCATCTGGTCAAACTCTCCCAAATCTTTTTAACATGATAACAATTGCAGAGTAGATGGACAATTGTTTCTTATTCTTTTGAACGGAATGTGTATATAGGAGTGTCTTTTATACTGATTTTATTTAGGGAAATATTTGTAGGTATGATATCGTATGATATCTTCATCTGTAACCATTTGAAATTACTACATTTTGTACATCGATTTGGCATCATATATACGTTTCGTAGCATTGTGTTATCGTACTGTGTTTCAAAGACTCTTTCCCACTTTTTATGGGCATATGATTTATTGTAATTAGGTCAAGTAAAGAAAAATAAAAGGTTTTGGAGCCTTTAACCCTTAGACTAAGTTTGGATGGTACTGAATGGTAGTATTGGGAAAATGGTAAGTGTTTTGGGAAGAATTATTTGTCTTCTCTTTAAGCAGGCAATTATGGAAGATTTGATGCTATGATATCATAGGATATTTGTTTTGAGTTGATATACTTCATAAGTATAGAATTCCCCAGTAGTAGGATTCATTAGATCATAAATAAAGTGTATACCTGCATTGTACCAATTGTTTATAAAATTGTCTCGTTAACTCTGTTAAACATATAATTAAGCCAAATACATTGGTTTAACATGTCATATGAGTTTAATGTCTTATATTGTTTTTGTAAATATGATCCCCATGCAGAGATTACATCTCTCCAAAAAAGATTTCTTTTGTAAGGTTTTAGGTGTTTTTCCATATATTCAGGATCAGCTAACCATAGTCTTCCGTAGATATACAATTTCAACTAATGCTTTCCATTTGCAGCTACTGGAATACAATCTCTTTATCCATGATATTGTATGTGCATAAATAATATTCTTAATGAGTGGGACACTAATTCCTCCATATTCTGGTGGCATAGCAAATACTTCTCTTTTAATTTTATCAGGTTAGTCTTTCAATATTAATTTGAAGCAGGCTTTATCTATTATCTCATCTGGGGCTGATGGAATTGAGGAAAATAAATGGTATAATTAAGAGAGTAATAGTGATTTCAAAATAACATTTTTACCGATTGGGGTAAGTGTTCTTATTGATCATAACTTCATTTCATTCTCTATCTTTTTAACCTTATTATCGTAATTCAATTTCACCATTTTGTCAAGGTCAATATCACACATCATACCCAGTAGCTTAAACTTACTTTGAGTCCAATCTAAATTAGTCGATCGCCTCCGTGGTGTAGTGGTTAGAGCGTCCGTATAATGTGTCTGAGTGGGGTATTCATGCTTCACTGCAGCATGGTATCTCAGTGGGCTAGCACTATAAAACCAGCTAGTCTGGGCTAGTACAAGCAGCCGCACATACACATACACAAGCATACACGTCGTCATATGAGCGAAATATTCTCAAGCACGACGCTAAACCCACTTCCACCTCGCCTGTAAGTTATTCATTCTGATGTTATTCAAAGTTATTACCTATACGGGCAAGGATACACAGGTGATTATTTTTGTGATAATCGCACATGTGCTTTTCGGTGGTTCTCAGCGTTGATTGGTCAGCTTAGCAGAGAAGAAGTATGATTGGTGGACAGAACTACTTTTCATGATCCAAGTTCAGTGACAACTTTTACCGTTTCATTGATAATTAGAACGTGCTGTACTCACACATTCCGAGATTTAAAAAAGAAAAGATAAAGGTTAAAGCATATGAATACTCTTTTTATTAGACATTATTATTTTGCAATACAATTGCGTCATAAATAGAAGTCTTTATGAAATAAATAACTTATAAAAAACTCAAAACAATCGTTTGCATTGTTTGCAAAAAAACATGGCCGCCATTAGTCTAACCCCGATCAACGTCAATGACCTAGTTAAAGTTGACGGTGACCAAATAGGAAGACTGATAAGGATTTTACAGCCCTTGATTTCCTACAACCTGTTTGTTGTTAAAACGGAATTCGGGGAAATAGAAGCAGCAAGATACTGACTAAAGGCGTTACCTTAAAGTGTGACAAGTGAGTCGATCTGCCACGGCGTCCATGCCATCAGCTTCTTTCTTATCGGAATCAGTGCTTAATGAGTTTTTTATCCATGCATTTCTAATCAATACGAAAGGTTTGTCCCAGTATCCGATGCAGAGATTGACACATTTCATTGACTCGGATTCCGACTAGAGTTATCCTTCTTGGAACTGCTGTACTTTCTTGGGACCAATGACGTGACTGTAACACGCCTTCCACAAAACAAAATGTTGTTTAATTTTCCAACCTGTTGGGTTTCTTGACACAATTGTTTTCTAAATGTATTCGTGGGATGGTTGGCTTTTAGATTTCCCAAATTTTAATCGACGACTTTCCCCGAGAATTGACAGGTTTTTACCAAAGTTTGTTTATGAACAAATGTTAATATTTTATTCCATAAACACTTTTTTGTTGTATTTTAAAGCGATTTAACGAGGTACTATTGTCCATAGCGTAGTTATGGTATTACCACTGGACAAGTTAGGTTTAATACGTGCATGAATACGAATCAGCTGTTTGCGATCACAAGTCCTGTCTCCGGGTGTTTTTAATTTTGTGGTTCTTCTGTTAAAATTACATTATGGGTAATAAATAGAATAACCAACGAGGTACGAGTGATTACGAGAAATGTGCCCTCGTTAAAATAATGTGCAGTGCCTCGGCACTGTGAACATTATTTCAACTCGGGCATATTTCCCGTAATCACTCGTACCTCGTTGGTTATTCTCTAAATATCAAACAAATATCACCTCCTCTAAGGGGAAAGGCATGTTAAGCATGGAGGTTCAGGGGTGTTCGGAGGGGGTCATTTTCACGGCCTGTCTGTGAAAAACGTGAAACATGAAACCCTGAATGAAACTTTTCCTCAACTAGAAGACTTGTTCCTTTGGAACGCACCTACTCTAGCCACCTGACTAATGCAGTGGAAAATTTAAATCTGGATTTCAAAAACAGAAATATGTTTTCAAAATGTATGTTTTGTAGACTGTCTGCATCAATACGTCTGATTCCACTGCTGCCGTCACCAATGTTGATGAATTTGCGCCCATCTCTGTCTTTCGTTTAAATGACGTTGTGTCAACGGCACGCCAACTACTGGTCGTTGCGCATGTAACTCGCTGATTGAAGGCGATTTCGGATGCATGCGCCCGTTGCTTGTCGTAGCTCGTTGGCTAGACGTGCTGCTCTCATCGTCCTGTGACGTCTCGATGACGTCACCAGATGACGATCCTTGTTGCATGAGGCCTTCCAGACCTGGGTCGATCCCAAACATCCCCAGCCTGTTGCACCCGTTGTCGACGACGCCGAATTGTACTTTCATGTCGATGTCCCTTACACTCTATCCCGCATGTAATAGCCCCATGGCTTCTTGGCGTTGATTTTCATTAAAACCTGGCTGACGCTCCATTGTCAGCTGCTTTTATCACTGTTCGCTTTCTTGCAACAGTGATGTCAGTGTGCAACATCTACCCTTTTATGTTCCACAGGACGCAAGGAACTGTCGTCGTGCAACATCCGGGTTGTCAAAACGTCTCAACTACCGTCCAACCATTGACCGGATTTGGTTGTTAACATAGAGTTAACATTTTCTCATTGTTTGACATCAAGCTTGACTTTTGGCACCAGCAAATCTTCATTGAAAATTTACAAAAAGATAACATGCTAAACTTTTTTGGTTCAGTATATGTGTGTTATTCTAAATAAACGCTCATAGAATATACAGTCATCTGGCAAATTCCGTTGACTTTTACGACTGACTGAGTGACTGAGTTTGGTTTACGCCGCTTTTAGCAATATTCCAGCAACATCACGGCGGGGGGGCACCAGAAATGGGCTTCACACATTGTACCCATGTGGGGATTCGAACCCGGGTCTTCGGCGTGACGAGCCAACGCTTTAACCACTAGGCTACCCCACCGCCCCGTTGACATTTACGACGTCATAACATGTGTAACTATACTATCTATGCTCGTTTGAATGCTCGTTTAAGATAGCCTCGCGTTATGGCGTCATATATTGCAGCGTTATCGTGATAGTATATCTTGTATCCGTCTCGGGTGTACACTCAAAACATCGCTGCAATCACCTGATCTACTGTCATATGTATTGCATATAATACTCGGAGCTGTAACATCCCTACATAAGACGCTATCAACCTGTACATCCGACTCGGTAATTTCTCATCCATCACCACAAAGACATTAGTGTCAGGAGTCTTTTTCTTTTGGTCTGAACGATGCCGATATTCCAGACATGCGCAGTGCTTCTAGACGACAAGAAGGAAGTGTACCGGAAGGGGGAGACAGTGACGGGATCGTTAGTGTTGGACGTCACAGAGGATGTCACAGTGAAGGGGGTCCGAGTTTACCTGTATGGGGAGACGCTGGTCAAGTGGGACGAGTTGTCACCTGGGAGTCTTGGAGGGACCAAGGATTACATCGCCAAAGAAAAATACTTCGGATTAGTGTTTACAGTATTTGGCAAGACACGTATGTAAACATACTCCATAATATTCAGGAATGCCGACAAAATGTTTGCAAATATGGAATAGAATTATCGTTTTTATTCCTTCTGACCCAATTTCCGAATTTTGCGCAGAAATACCGGACGCGCGGAATTGCCGGACTCGCTTGTAGTATTTATAGTTAAAGAGTTCTCCAGATTGCGTCCAATCTGTCATAGGCCATTAGAATCTATAAGGGGCCGTTCATAATGATGATTGAAATTTGTTTTGCGTGTTGTAAGAGTCAACTGAAGTTGCTTCTATGCTCATTTCCATCCGACGTCGGTGATCATTTCATATCCTATCAACAACTGATTCAACTGACCCTGAGATGAACCTTACCAGTGTGACTGTGCCAGAATCACCCGAACCCTCTCTGCTTCATTTTCATCTTAATCTGTATAAACATAATAACAAATATAATATATAGATAATACTGACTTCGGCCTTAGATAAGCCTAACTTCCTCGTTTGTCATGCACGCAACCACTGGTTCACCCGTTGATCACACGCCGCCGTGATCAGTCTAGATTGTCGCTGACCGTGGCGTTAAACAATACTCACTTTCTCATTGGTTTTTTCTTTCTATATTAACAACAACAATATCTCACATCTGTCTCCTAGTAGACGCCACTGGACCAAACCACACCCTGACAGCGGGACGCCACAATTACAGTTACAAGCTCAAACTTCCAAATAAAGACCTTCCGTCCTCCTTCGAGGGAGAGTTTAGCGCCATCAGATTCTGCGTCAAGGTTGAGGTGGACAGACCGACCTCCAACTTAAACCAGTGTTGGTACCGCGGTATCACCATACTGGACAACATCAACGTCAACGACTCTCAGTATAAGGTAACAGTATATCGGTAGTCAGCATGATATAACTTTGTACCTTTCGAGGTTTACACTTTGTACGTTTAGCGGTTTACACTTTGTACCTTTCGAGGTTTACACTTTGTACCTTTTGAGGTTTACACTTTGTACCTTTCGAGGTTTACACTTTGTACGTTTAGCGGTTTACACTTTGTACCTTTCAAAGTTTACACTTTGTACGTTTAGCGGTTTACTTTTTGTACCTTTCGAGGTTTACACTTTGTACCTTTCGAAGTTTACACTTTGTACCTTAGCGGTTTACACTTTGTACCTTTCGAGGTTTACACTTTGTACCTTTCGAGGTTTACACTTTGCACGTTTAGCGGTTTACACTTTGCACCTTTGCGGTTTACACTTTGCACGTTTAGCGCTTTACACTTTGTACCTTTCGAGGTTTACACTTTGTACGTTTAGCGGTTTACACTTTGTACCTTTTACAGTTTACACTTTGTACCTTTTGAGGTTTACACTTTGTACGTTTAGCGGTTTACACTTTGTACCTTTCGAGGTTTACACTTTGTACATTTAGCAGTTTACACTTTGTACCTTTCGAGGTTTACACTTTGTACCTTTCGAGGTTTACACTTTGTACATTTAGCGTTTTCACTTTGTACCTTTTGCGGTTTACACTTTGTACCTTTCGAGGTTTACACTTTGTACCTTTTGAGGTTTACACTTTGTACGTTTAGCCGTTTACACTTTGTGCCTTTTGAGGTTTACACTTTGTACTTTTCGCGGTTTACACTTTGTACCTTTGAGGTTTACACTTTGTACGTTTAGCGGTTTACACTTTGTACGTTTAGCGGTTTACACTTTGTACCTTTCGAGGTTTACACTTTGTACCTTTTGAGGTTTACACTTTGTACGTTTAGCGGTTTACACTTTGTACCTTTTGCAGTTTACACTTTGTACCTTTTGCGGTTTACACTTTGTACGTTTAGCGGTTTACGCTTTGTACCTTTTGAGGTTTACATTTTGTACCTTTCGAGGTTTACACTTTGTACGTTTAGCGGTTTACACTTTGTACCTTTCGAGGTTTACACTTTGCACCTTTTACGGTTTACACTTTGTACCTTTCGAAGTTTACACTTTGTACGTTTAGCGGTTTACACTTTGTACCTTTCGCGGTTTCCACTATGTACCTTACGAGGTTTACACTTTGCACGTTTAGCGGTTTACACTTTGTACCTTTCGAGGTTTACACTTTGTACCTTTCGAAGTTTACACTTTTTACCTTAGCGGTTTACACTTTGTACCTTTCGAGGTTTACACTTTGTACCTTTCGAAGTTTACACTTTGCACCTTTTAGGTTTACACTTTGTACCGTTTAGCGGTTTACACTTTGTACCTTTCGAGGTTTACACTTTGTACCTTTCGAAGTTTACACTTTGCACCTTTTGCGGTTTACACTTTGTACCTTTCGAGGTTTACACTTTGTATGTTTAGCGGTTTACACTTTGGACCTTTCGCGGTTGACACTTTGTACCTTCCGAAGTTTACACTTTGCGCCTTTTGCGGTTTACACTTTGCACCTTTTGAGGTTTACACTTTGTACCTTTCAAGGTTTACACTTTGTACTTTAAGCGGTTTACACTTTGTACGTTTAGCGGATTACACTTTGTACCTTTCGAGGTTCACACTTTGCACGTTTAGAGGTATACACTTTGTACCTTTCGAAGTTAACACTTTGTACGTTTAGCGGTTTACACTTTGTGCCTTTTGAGGTTTACACTTTGTACTTTTTGCGGTTTACACTTTGTACATTTTGAGGTTTACACTTTGTTCATTTAGCGGTTTACACTTTGTACCTTTCGAGGTTTACACTTTGTACGTTTAGCGGTTTACACTTTGTACCTTTCGAGGTTTACACTTTGTATCTTTCGAGGTTTACACTTTGTACGTTTAGCGGTTTACACTTTGTACCTTTCGAAGTGTACACTTTGTACCTTTCGAACTTTACACTTTGTACCTTAGCGGTTTACACTTTGTACCTTTCGAGGTTTACACTTTGTACCTTTCGACGTTTACACGTTGCACCTTTTGCGGTTTACACTTTGTAAGTTTATCGGTTTACACTTTGTACCTTTCGAAGTTTACACTTTGTACGTTTAGCGGTTTACACTTTGTACCTTTCGAGGTTGACACTTTGTACTTTTTGCGGCTTACACTTTGTACCTTTTGCGGCTTACACTTTGTACCTTTTGAGGTTTACACTTTGTACGTTTAGCGGTTTACACTTTGTACCTTTTGAGGTTTCCACTATGTACCTTTCGAGGTTTACACTTTGCACGTTTAGCGGTTTACACTTTGTACCTTTCGAAGTGTACACTTTGTACCTTTCGAACTTTACACTTTGTACCTTAGCGGTTTACACTTTGTACCTTTCGAGGTTTACACTTTGTACCTTTCGAAGTTGACACTTTGCACCTTTTGCGGTTTACACTTTGTAAGTTTAGCGGTTTACACTTTGTACCTTTTGCGGCTTACACTTTGTACCTTTCGAAGTTTACACTTTGTACCTTTCGAGGTTTACACTTTGTACGTTTAGCGGTTTACACTTTGTACCTTTCGAGGTTTACACTTTGTATGTTTAGCGGTTTACACTTTGTACCTTTTGCGGCTTACACTTTGTACCTTTGGAGGTTTACACTTTGTACGTTTAGCGGTTTACACTTTGTACCTTTCGAGGTTTACACTTTGTACGTTTAGCGGTTTACACTTTGTACCTTTCGAGGTTTACACTTTGTACCTTCGAGGTTTACACTTTGTCGCCAGTTTTACACTTTGTACCTTTTGCGGTTTACACTTTGTACCTTCGAGGTTTACACTTTGTACCTTTTGAGGTTTACACTAATGCGCTTACGGGTTTACACTTTGTGCCTTTTATGCGGTTTACACTTTGTACTTTCACGGTTTACACTTTGTGCAATGCTTTAGCGGTTTACACTTGTACCTTTCAAGGTTTACACTTTGTACGTTTAGGGTTTACACCCTTGTACCTTCTGCGTTTACACTTGATTACACTTTTGTACCTTCGAGGTTCACACTTTGTATGTTTAGCGGTTTACACTTTGTACCTTCGAGGTTTTACACTTTGTACCTTTGAGGTTTACACTTTGTATGTTTAGAGGTTTACACTTTGTACCTTTCAAGGGTTGACACTTTGCAATCCTTTCAAGGTTTACACTTTGTACTTTTTAGCCGGTTTACACTTTGTAATGCTTAGCCGGTTTACACTTTGTAAAATTTTCAAGTTCACACTTTGTGCAACGCTTAGCTGCATACACTTTGCACCTTCTCGAAGTTTACACTTTGTAATGCGTTTAGGGTTTACACTTTGTATCGTTTAGCCGATTACACTTTGTACCTTTCGAGGTTCACACTTTGTATGTTTAGCGGTTTACACTTTGTACCTTTCGAGGTTTACACTTTGTACCTTTCGAAGTTTACACTTTGCACCTTTTGCGGTTTACACTTTGTAAGTTTAGCGGTTTACACTTTGTACCTTTTGCGGCTTACACTTTGTACCTTTCGAAGTTTACACTTTGTACCTTTCGAGGTTTACACTTTGTACGTTTAGCGGTTTACACTTTGTACCTTTCGAGGTTTACACTTTGTATGTTTAGCGGTTTACACTTTGTACCTTTTGCGGCTTACACTTTGTACCTTTTGAGGTTTACACTTTGTAACGCGCTTGGCTGTTTCACACTTTGTACCTTTGAGGTTTACACTTTGTAACGTTTAGCGGTTTACACTTTGTACCTTTCGAGGTTTACACTTTGTACCTTTCGAGTGTTTCACCCTTTGTACGCTTAAGCGTTTACGTTCTTGTACCTTTTGGCGGTTTACACTTTGTAACCTTCGAGGTTTTACACTTTGTACCTTTTGAGGTTTACACTTTGCACGCTTAGCTTACGCGGTTTACACTTTGTGCCTTTTGCGGTTTACACTTTGTACTTTTCGCGGTTTACACTTTGTACGTTTAGCGGTTTACACTTTGTACCTTTCAAGGTTTACACTTTGTACGTTTAGGGGTTTACACTTTGTACGTTTAGTCGATTACACTTTGTACCTTTCGAGGTTCACACTTTGTATGTTTAGCGGTTTACACTTTGTACCTTTCGAGGTTTACACTTTGTACCTTTTGAGGTTTACACTTTGTATGTTTAGCGGTTTACACTTTGTACGTTTAGCGGTTTACACTTTCTGCCGTTTAGCGGTTTACACTTTGTGCCTTTTGAGGTTTACACTTTGTACTTTTTGCGGTTTACACTTTGTACCTTTCAAGGTTCACACTTTGTACGTTTAGCGGTATACACTTTGTAGCTTTCGAAGTTTACACTTTGTACGTTTAGCGGTTTACACTTTGTACGTTTAGCGGTTTACACTTTCTGCCGTTTAGCGGTTTACACTTTGTGCCTTTTGAGGTTTACACTTTGTACTTTTTGCGGTTTACACTTTGTACCTTTTGAGGTTTACCATTTGTACATTTAGCGGTTTACACTTTGTACCTTTCGAGGTTTACACTTTGTACGTTTAGCGGTTTACACTTTGTACCTTTCGAGGTTTACACTTTGTACCTTTCGAGGTTTACACTTTGTACGTTTAGCGGTTTACACTTTGTACGTTTAGCGGTTTTTACACTTTGTACCTTTCGAGGTTTACACTTGCACCTTTTGCGGTTTACACTTTGTACCTTTCGAGGTTTACACTTTGTACGTTTAGCGGTTTACACTTTGTACCTTTCGAGGTTTACACTTTGTACGTTTAGCGGTTTACACTTTGTACCTTTCGAGGTTTACACTTTGTACCTTTCGAGGTTTACACTTTGTACATTTAGCGATTTACACTTTGCACCTTTCGAGGTTTACACTTTGTACGTTTAGCGGTTTACACTTTGTACCTTTCGCGGTTTTCAGTTTGTACCTTTCGAGGTTTACACTTTGTACCTTTTGCGGCTTACACTTTGTACCTTTGAAGGTTTACACTTTGTACCTTCCGAAGTTTACACTTTGTATGTTAAGCGGTTTACACTTTGCACCTTTCGAGGTTTACACTTTGTACGTTTAGCGGTTTACACTTTGTACCTTTCGCGGTTTTCAGTTTGTACCTTTTGAGGTTTACACTTTGCACCTTTTGCGGTTTACACTTTGTACCTTTCGAGATTGACACTTTGTACGTTTAGCGGTTTACACTTTGTACCTTTCCCGGTTTACACTTTGTACCTTTCGAGGTTTACACTTTGTACCTTTCGAGGTTTACACTTTGTACTTTTCGCGGTTTACACTTTGTACCTTTCGAGGTTTACACTTTGTACCTTTCGAGGTTTACACTTTGTACGTTTAGCGGTTTACACTTTGTACCTTTCGCAGTTTACACTTTGTACCTTTTGAGGTTTACACTTTGTACTTTTCGTGGTTTACACTTTGTGCCTTTCGAGGTTTACACTTTGTACGTTTAGTGGTTTACACTTTGTACCTTTTGAGGTTAACACTTTGTACGTTTAACGGTTTACACTTTGTACCTTTCGAGGTTTACACTTTGTACGTTTAGCGGTTTACACTTTGTAACTTTCGAGGTTTACACTGTGTACCTTTCGAGGTTTACACTATGTACGTTTAGCGGTTTACACTTTGTACCTTTCGAGGTTTACACTTTGTACCTTTCGAGATTTACACTTTGTATGTTTAGCGGTTTACACTTTGTACCTTTCGCGGTTTACACTTTGTACCTTTCGAAGTTTACACTTTGCACCTTTTGCGGTTTACAATTTGTACCTTTCGAGGTTTACACTTTGTACGTTTAGCGGTTTACATTTTGTACCTTTCAAGGTTTACACTTTGTACGTTTAGGGGTTTACACTTTGTACGTTTAGCCGTTTACACTTTGTACCTGCGAGCTTCACACTTTGTTTGTTTAGCGGTTTACACTTTGTACCTTTCGAGGTTTACACTTTGTACGTTTAGCGGTTTACACTTTGTAACTTTCGAGGTTTACACTTTGTACCTTTCGAGGTTTACACTTTGTACGTTTAGCGGTTTACACTTTGTACCTTTCAAGGTTTACACTTTGTACCTTTCGAGGTTTACACTTTGTATGTTTAGCGGTTTACACTTTGTACCTTTCGCGGTTGACACCTTGTACCTTTCGAAGTTTACACTTTGCACCTTTTGCGGTTTACACTTTGTACCTTTCGAGGTTTACACTTTGTACGTTTAGCGGTTTACACTTTGTACCTTTCAAGGTTTACACTTTGTACGTTTAGGGGTTTACACTTTGTACGTTTAGCCGTTTACACTTTGTACCTTTCGAGGTTCACACTTTGTATGTTTAGCGGTTTACACTTTGTACCTTTCGAGGTTTACACTTTGTACCTTTCGAGGTTTACACTTTGTATGTTTAGAGGTTTACACTTTGTACCTTTCGCCGTTGACACTTTGTACGTTTAGCGGTTTACACTTTGTACCTTTCGAGGTTTACACTTTGTACCTTTCGAGGTTTACACTTGCACCTTTTGCGGTTTACACTTTGTACCTTTCGAGGTTCACACTTTGTACGTTTAGCGGTTTACACTTTGTACCTTTCGAGGTTTACACGTTGTATCTAGAGGTGTTCGTTGTTCCATTCGTAGTAACGACACAACACTGAATACAATTCTCTGGCAAGGATTGTGGCGTTGAGTAAGTCGCCCCATAGACGCAGATTTGTTCTCCAAAGCAGAGACCATGTGTGAAGCCCATTTTGGTGTTCCGCTTCATGATCTGGCTGGAATACTTGGACAATAATCTGTGGTATAACGCTACGTCTGTTGTTTCTCTCTTGCATGTGGGGCCATTTTAACATTCCACACTCAACTAAATTGTTATGTTCTTGATGACAGGCATCGGTACGACGTCAGGCAAAGAAACAGGTTTCTAAGGCTCTTGGTTTAGGATATGCTGGTTCTCTGACCTTGACTGCTGCCACTGACAGGAGAGCTTACTGCGCAGGAGAAAAGGTCGCACTGAAAGGTACACTATGTTGCAACTCTGAAAGACACGTCTAATCTGAAGCATATTTGTGGGCTGTTGTAAGCTCGAGTTATACAATCAAACCTGGGTTTCAGTTGTGGTGCAGAACGAGTCAACGCAGAACATGGGGATACTGAAGGCTAAGTTGAAGCAGAAAGTTGTCTACACAGCTGGTGAGAGGAAGACTCGGAAGAACGTTATCAGGATCCTGGAGGGAACTCCAGTCATGAAGGTTGGTAATACTGAAAGCGATTGTTAGTGTGTTAGGTTATCATATCAAGGACTCGAGTAGGAAAACACGTCCTCAGTGAGGCGATTTTTATTTGTTCCCCACGTTGGCAACAACCTTGACCACGGGCATATTGCTGAGTATCATGTATGTATCAGGTATCTCGTGTATCAGGTATCTCGTGTATCAGGTATCTCGTGTATCAGTAGTATCATGACTCATGTATCATGTATCTCGTGTATCAGTAGTATCATAACTCATGTATCAGGCATCTCGTGTATCAGTAGTATCATGACTCATGTATCAGGCATCTCGTGTATCAGTAGTATCATGACTCATGTATCAGGTATCTCGTGTATCAGGTATCTCGTGTATCAGCAGTATCATGACTCATGTATCAGGTATCTCGTGTATCTGGTATCTCGTGTATCAGTAGTATCATGACTCAGGTATCAGGTATCTCGTGTATCAGGTATCTCGTGTATCAGCAGTATCATGACTCATGTATCAGGTATCTCGTGTATGAGCTATCTCGTGTATCAGGTTTCTTGTGTATCAGGTATCTCCGGTATCAGTAGTATCATGACTCATGTATCAGCTAACTCGTGTATCAGTAGTATCATGACTCATGTATCAGGTATCTGGTGTATCAGTAGTATCATGATTCATGTATCATGTATCTCGAGTATCAGTAGTATCATGACTCATGAATCAGGTATTCTCGTGTATCAGTAGTATCATGACTCATGTATCAGGTATCTCGTGTATCTGGTATCTCGTATATCAGTTGTATCATGACTCATGTATCAGGTATCTCGTGCATCAGGTATCTTGTATATCAGTAGTATCATGAGTCATGTATCAGGTATCTCGTGTATCAGGTATCTCGTGTATCAGTAGTATCATGACTCATGTATCAGGTATCTCGTGCATCAGAAGTATCATGATTCATGTATCAGGTATCTCGTCGTGACTCATGTATCCAGGTATCTCGTGTATCAGTAGTATCATGAGTCATGTATCAGGTATCTCGTGTATCAGGTATCTCGTGTATCAGTAGTATCATGACTCATGTATCAGGTATCTCGTGCATCAGAAGTATCATGATTCATGTATCAGGTATCTCGTATATCAGTAGTCATCAGGTATCTCATGTATCAGTAGTATCATGAGTCATGTATCAGGTATTCTCGTGTATCAGTAGTATCATGACTCATGTATCAGGTATCTCGTGTATCAGGTATCTCGTATATCAGTAGTATCATGACTCAGTATCAGGTATCTCGTGTATCAGGTATCTTGTAGATCAGTAGTATCATGACTCATGTATCAGGTATCTCGTGTATCGTATCATGACTCAGTATCAGCTAACTATATCAGTGACTCATGACTCGTATCAGGTATCTCGTGTATCAGTAGTATCATGACTCATGTATCAGGTATCTCGTGTATCAGTAGTATCATGACTCATGTATCAGGTATCATGTATGTATCAGGTATCTCGTGTATCAGTAGTATCATGACTCATGTATCAGGTATCTCGTGTATCAGTAGTATCATGACTCATGTATCAGGTATCTCGTGTATCAGTAGTATCATGACTCATGTATCAGGTATCTCGTGTATCAGTAGTATCATGACTCATGTATCAGGTATCTCGTGTATCAGTAGTATCATGACTCATGTATCAGGTATCTCGTGTATCAGTAGTATCATGACTCATGTATTAGGTATCTCGTGTATCAGTAGTATCATGACTCATGTATCAGGTATCTGGTTCATCAGTAGTATCATGACTCATGTATCAGGTATCTCGTATATCAGTAGTATCATGACTCATGTAAGGCATCCTGGTGTATCAGGTATTCTCGTGTATCAGTAGTATCATGACTCATGTATCAGGTATCTCATGTATCAGTAGTATCATGACTCATGTATCTCTGGTGTATCAGGTAGTATCATGACTCATGTATCAGGTATCTCGTGTATCAGGTATCATGACTCATATCAGTAGTATCATGTATCATCGTATAATCAGGTATCATGGACCTCGTATCTCGTATCAGGTATCATTACTCGTGTATCAGGTATCTCGTGTATCGAGTATCCTCGTATCCATCATGACTCATGTATCAGGTATCTCGTGCATCAGTAGTATCATGACTCATGTATCAGGTATCTCGTGTATCAGTAGTATCATGACTCATGTATCAGGTATCTCGTGTATCAGTAGTATCATGACTCATGTATCATGTATCTCGTGTATCAGTAGTATCATGACTCATGTATCAGGTATCTCGTGTATCCAGGAGTATTATCATGACTCATGTATCTCGTGTATCAATAGTATCAAGTATGTATGACTCATGTAAACTCAGGAAACAAGGAATGAACACCTCGCGTGTTCCACACACTCCAGTAGTATCATGACTCTTCCACGTCTTTACAAGTCCCAAGTCAAATTAGAGACATTGAACAGCTTCAGGATACAAGGAATAGACGCCCTTATGCAACACATCACTTAAACAATCGGGGTATTACTGCGTAGGACGTTAGGCCATACACAAACATGCATGAAGAGCTAGTCATTCTTATCACCTGGTGTCATTTCAAGTGACCATTTGATATGTTTCACCTCTATTGTGGCCTTTGTGGAATCAGTATCAGCAAATGATGGAGAAGTCTAAAGACGTTAAAATTCTAAACCTTAACATGCTTTCCTGAAACTATGTTCGGAGCTAAATCTTAATTGGGACCAGGGTGACTTTAGTCTTCTTGGAATTACGTTTACTCAAGACTTAGACGATATGGTAGAGATAAATTACAAAGAAAAAATAAGAAGTTGTGAAACACTAATGTCCATATGGTCCGCACGTAATCTCACTCCTTTTGGAAGAAATATTGTCTTAAAATCTTTGATCATCCCAAAATTAAATCATTTATTCAGTGTACTTCCTGACCCAGATAATGAAACTACAAATATATTTCAAAAGAAATGTTTTAAATTTATCTGGAACAATAAACCTGATAAAATTAAGAGACGCCAAATTATCTGTGACAAACAAGATGGAGGCTTCAACATGCCAAATATAAAGGCATTAATGCATGCTCAGAAACTATCAATGGTCAGAAGGTTTTTCAGATGTAAGTCCAGTTGGTGCTATCTATTTATTTCAAATCTCCCAAAGTTTGGCGCTGGTTATGTATTCGATTATAACTGCCAATATCTGCCAGAAGAATGTCTCCCACTGATCCACAATAAATATTATAGGGATGTTTTAGGTGCCTGGTGGCAATTTATATCTCGGAATGAAACTGACTATGACGTAAATTAAATACTTGCCGAAACTCTCTGGTACAACGAAAACATATGTGTAGGATGTAAACCAATTTTTTACAAACAATGGTATGATAAAGGAATTCGGTGTATCAACGATTTACTTGACTTAAATGAGAACATATACTGCTTTGAAAATTTTGTAAACACTATCATTTAAAAACTGATTTTCTAACATTTACTTGCCTCATTAGATCAGTAGAGTCATATTTGAGAACACTTAACATAGATTTTAAGACTTTGTCAAAAATACCGAACCCAACTTTACCAGCAAATATAAAACAGCTCCTCAGGGATGCAAAGGGGACACAACGGTTTTACAGAACATTGTTGTCAGATGTCACTACAAACAGTTACATGCCAAAAATGGGAGCAAAGTATCTTAAACAACAAAGTCTTGTCTGACGACTGGAAAAATTAAAACAAAATACCATTTAGATGCACCAATGACAGTAAACTGCAATGGTTCCAATATAAAATATTACATCACATCTTACCGACAAATATAAAGCTATTTAAGATTGGGTATATAAATAATTCAAAATGCAGCTTTTGCCAAAACGAAATTGAGACACTCGATCACGTGTTCTGGTTTTGCAGTAAAGTCAACCATATCTGGCAAAAACTTGAAATCTGGCTACATCATAAAGCTCTTGTCAATATCAAAGTATCAAGAAAACAGGTATTGCTCGGTTTCCCAGACAAAAACAATGACCCTCTCAATATTATTATTATTATCTTTAAAAACCTAATTTTTGGAAGCAGATTAAAAAACAGTGTGCCATTTCCATGTTTTCCACAATGAAATTAGACATTATTATATGATAACAAAGTGCTTTTCTTTAATGGAGTGTAATATCAGCGCCTTTTATAAGTTCTGGTCTTCATGTCATGAACTGTTCACATGATTTGTACATCATATGCTTGTATTGTATTGTAACCTGAATGTCCTTTGTTGAGTTTTCGGAATAGACTGTAAAACATCTTTAAAAACAATAAAATGTAAAAAAAAAAAGAAGTTCATATGTTTCACCTCTATTGTGGCCTTTGTGGAATCAGTAGCAGCAAATGATGGAGAAGTCTAAAGACGTTAAAATTCAAAACCTTAACATGCTTTCCTGTTGTCCAGGGAGAGGAGCGGGTGTGGAACAACCAACTGCTGGAAGTAGACGTCATTCCACCGTCGACGAAGTCCAGTTCCTGTAAAATCATCGCCGTCAGCTACTACATCAAGGTAGGTCACTGCCCTCAGGTCACGTTGTTGTCGACATTTCTGTGTATTTTCATACTACAAAATAAATCAATAATATTTGCCATGAAGGACCATAAGTTCGGTGATATGTTTTCTGACAGATCTCAATTCGCCCTTGCCTCGTGGTAACATTAGAAAACATAGTGTCATGAAAAGAGACTACAAATACAAGGAAAGGTGGGTGAGGGACCCCATTCCCTATCAACAACAATTTATGGTGCCACGGTGCTGTGTACTGGTTTGCGGACTGTGTTAGGTTCGAATCCTAGATTTCCGCGACTAATATTCTTCGTGCGTCAGTACCATTTCTCTTTGGTTCAACCAATGTGGTTAACGTCTAACACCTCAGTGTCCTCAGTATTACTTTCCAAATTCGAACAACCTGAAACTGAAACCTTTCACCCATGAACACTTATGAATGCCTTTGAGATAGTGGTCAAATGTAAGTTACATATTATTGGGGATTACACTTTCTCAATACAGTACACATTCCAGTGCTTCTGGGGAATAACTTCCATTCAGGATTAGAATCTACACTCTCGGAGAGAGATGTATCTTATCACCACACAATACAGTCACAAGAAGCTTACACCAGTATTTCATTGTACTGTCTGTGGAATAAGAGCGGCTAACGGCATGTGAGTAACCTATGTGTCACATGATGTCAAATAAGTGTCATACACATGGACATAAGATGGGTTTTTTTATGTGTGCAATTTGAGAGTAAAGTTTTAAAAAGTTGAGTAAAAGCACTGGAAAGTTTTACAGGAGAACAGGTTTCTAATTCAGTAATATATATGACAAATGCTAAATCATTTCATCACTGTACAACCAAACTACTTGAGATATCCAGTGACCATCAGTCGTCAACTGCTTACTATTTTCTGTCTTTAATTCCGGTCAGACACTTCCTACATAACGGAAGCTGACCATTTGTCAGCATACGTTCAACATCACATTGAAAATTATCCATGCCATGTACTCATGATTACAGTCTGACCTTTAAACAGCGGAAGCTGACCGTATGTGACACTACACCCCGCTGAAAATTATCACCAACCATGTACATGATTACAGTCTGACCTTTAAATTACAATAAAGTCAATTTCTGGTCAATAGCCCAGACCGCTAACTTTGCGAGCACAGGAAGCCACACACAGGAAGCTAAAGACATTAACCCTCACAGGTCCGCACCAACTGTCACCTACTTGAACATATCTGTACTCGCATAAGCATAAGTGATACAAATGACAGCATTAAATGCTTAAAAATGGTGGTCAGTTTTAATGACTGGATGGAGGTGCTTTTAACAAACATAACACCTTACACTATTTCATCCAATCACAGCTGCCACATGTCTCTTCAGTTACGGCTCAGCGAGCAAGCGATTCTGCTGTTAGTAGTAGTACTGACAGCAGTGCATAGACAGCACCCTTATATGCGCTCTGATATTTTGACCTAATAAATAACAGCTAAATTCCCCCTCATTGTGTGATATTAATTCTACGTTTTGCTTAGTCTGTCTCACAGTCCCTGAACCACATTATTTCCCCTACTGCCATGCCCTCTCTGCAGTGCTAAAGCCCTAAATAAAGCAAGTCTAGATTTCCTCAGGTTCTGAATCTCTGGTGTCCCTAGGGCTCCTTTTCAGTTTAAACGGGCTGGTTTGTTACTATCAAAATTATATATATATTCAGAGACTAAGCATAAGTCTAAGGTTTGCTGTGTTTACACTCTAGTCGGCAAACTCATAAAATAATAATCCGAACCACTAAGGTGAACCTGAAGGTCACACACACACCGGAAGGGAACACCCGAAGGAGGGTGGGGTTCAACAATCGATTAGGTCACCCAAAGGTCACACCTATGTTACGTCATAAAAACAAAATGGCCGTCTTTTTGGGCCTCAACCCCTCCCCTTACAACATATATGTTCATGTCCCAGTTCGTCGGAAGACAAAGAGACACACAGTTTTAGATCCATGTATTTTAAGTGTCGTGCAATAGCGACTAATGCTAGTGTCCCAAGTCGTCAGAAGACACGAAGTTTTAGATCCATGTCTTTAAGTGTGGTGCAATAGCGACTAATGCTAGTGTCCCAAGTCGTCAGAAGACACAATGTTTTAGACCCGTGTCTTTAAGTGTTTTGCAATAGCGACTAATGCTAGTGTCTCAAGTCGTCAAAGACATAAAGTTTTAGATCCATGTCTTGTAAGTGTCACGCAAAAGCGGCTAATGCTAGGCTAGTGTCCCAAGTCGCCAGTCCCGGTTTATTCCTGTTCCTAGTCGTGTCAGCTCGGGTGTTTGTTCGACTGCGACTGAACAGTTAAAGGCACTGCATGACACCACACTTCTCTAACAATACATTATGCGTTTCTCTCAGTAATGCTAACTATCAGCCGTCGGGGAAGCTACCATATAATTTATTCCTAAAATAATTACGTATTTAGACTGCAATATTAAAATGAAAAGTTCGAATCCAATTAATGAAGCGTTTCATTAAATCGCCCTCCACCGGCCAAGCATTATTTCAAGCGAGCCCCATAGAGTTATGCGCCCCATAGAGTTATAAGTATATCTTACAACTGACCTGTGAATTAAATTAGTGCAACACCGCGTGCGATAGATTTCCATATTGGGGCGCGGTGGGCGAGCTGGCTAACGCGCGCAAGGCTAGTGATCCAGCGAAGTTGAGATGTCGGGGGTCGAGCTCACCTGTGACCGGGTGTAAAAACCTTTGAGTCAACTTTGTGTGCAGACTCTTTCCGTGTTGTCACAACCCCTAGTGTACAGTACACAGCCCTGTGCAGTTAAAAGAAACCACGAATCCATTGGTATATGACCAGATGGTGGCCACATGAATACGTGCAAACACCTAGTTGCGGGTACAGCAACGTGGAGTGAACTTGGACAAAGTACTGTGACTATGTGTTCCAGTCCACCCAGCTGTGAATGGGTACCTCGTTAGGATGAGAAAGCCACAATAACTCGGTGTGCCTAGTGGCTGCAAGAGTTGTATACTCCCCAGGCAGTTGAGTTTGATAATACAATGTGCCGTTGAGATTGACATCCAATGATCGAGGGAAATAAATACCAGCGCCTTGAGCATGCACTAGTTGCGTGGACATGTGCGCTATATATAAATATCCTATATTATATTATTATGGAGCAATTGTTCACATTCCATATATGGCAAGTGTTCTCTGTTTGGAAAATGCTCGCTTCGAAGTTTCAATTATCAATTTCAGGCAAGTTGTAATGTCTTATGTTGCATCAATAGGAAGCTATTGTGAGGGCATGCGCTCCAATATATATAACACAGGCCAAATTATTGTTGAAAATGTGTGTCTAAAAACCTTCTGGTTTTAGTGTGTATGAGTGTGTGTGTGATTCACGCCAACTTTGTCACTGCAGGGGACAAAGGAAATGGGCTTCACAATTTGTATCCATGCGGTGTATCCAACCACAAAACGTTGAATCTAAAATGTTCAGCGAAAGTGACATTGACACTGATTAACATGTACCATCAGGTTGCTGTTCATTTGGATCCTTTCAGGGATTGATGCCTCCAGTGACATAACCTACACCAAATGCAACCGGGGATTCCATGTCTGTCGGAAATCAGACGGCAATTTTGTGAATTTCAATTACATCCCCATGTGTGCCAACGTTGTGAACTACACATTTCCCCTTCCCCCGAGCCCTGCTGGTGGAGCTGGAGGGGCACGCCCTGCTGCAGCTGCTGCTTCAAGATCAAGCCCTGCTGCAGCTGTTGCTTCAAGACCAAGCCCTGCTGCAGCTGTTGCTTCAAGACCAAGCCTTGCTGCAGCTGTTGCTTCAAGACCAAGCCCTGCTGCAGCTGTTGCTTCAAGACCAAGCCCTGCTGCTTCTGTTGTTGTAGGACCACGTCCTGCCGCTGTCGCCACTAAAGCACAACCCAAGACGATTTCTCCAGCAACCTTTGTCCAAGCTCCATCTCCTGTCCAAACTCCTCTCCAAGCCCATCCCCAGGGCACTCCACAAGTCCCGCCACAAGCCAAACTGCAAGTTTCTACTTCTGCAATGGACCTGCCCCCATCCTACGAAGATGTTCTGGTGATGGATAATTTAGCTGCTACTACAGAAACTGCCTTCACAGTAAGTAGGCAAAGTTTCGGGAAAAGATAACCTCTAACAGCTGCAGATCTAAACGGTTCAAAGTGTTTATGGTCTGTGTTCTTTTCCAACCGGACCCGACTTGAGCAAAAATCTCCTTTTAAGAACTTGCGTATGTTGAAATGAAACCACTGAGTATATATAGTCATTATCTTTAAAATTGACTAAAAATTGTATATTTATGGCTAAAGTGCACATTTGTCGGTATTTCATTTCTAGGTAGTGATGGAATACAAACCGTATGGGGTTCTTTTCCTTCGGTTCCCAGACACCAGTGTTCAGGAGTTCAGAGACACCATTGGGAGAGACCACCAGAGTCGTGCGGAGTGTGAGGGAGAAATCATTGCATTTGCGCCACAGGTGATAAAAATTGTGTAATGCATGGATGGGAATTACCCCCTTGAAATCATCTGATGTACAACCATCGGTCAGCTCCAACAATGTTGTTAGGATCAGGATTTAGATCTGGGTACAGTGGGAATGTAACAAAGTATTAAATCGAACAGAAAATATAGATATTGTATATCCAGAATCCATGTGTATGCAGTCGTCTATGAATGAGTGAGCTTGGTTTTACCTTGTTTAAAACAATGTGGCAATCCCAATGCAATCAGATTTTAGGGCTCCTTTCTGCTGAACAAAAAAGATCCCCTCAGGACATCTCATTACATTTCACGTCACAACGACCAATGAAATGAGTGATATGATGTCGACACTAGCCAGTCAGAAAATAGTTTACTCAAGCTGTATGATGTTAGTTTCAAAATGCCAATACATGAATACAAAATATTTGTACAAAGTTATTAATGTCATTCAGGTTTTATTAAATATAATTATTATGAGTGGGTGTGTGTGTTTGGTTTTACGGCGCTTTTAGCAATATTCCAGCAATATCACGTCGGGGGGACACCAGAAATGGGTTTCACACAATTTGCCCATTTTCAATCAAACCCGAGTCATGACGAGCGAACGCTTTAACCACAAGGCTATACCCCAAAATATATATGAGGATGTGTCAGTAACAAACTCAAGTATTTTCCGAAAACATCAAATGTTCGTTTAGCATGCTGGATGTCCTAAAAGATGTCCGAAATTATTATAGGTTCTACACGATTCTAACGAATGGCCAGCACGAACGTCTGTCGCCATTTTGAAGTTCCCTTCTGTGGTTCAACAAGACTACAGGGGTCGCTGATCCAAAATGGCTGGGAACTTGCGAGGCCATTGCTGCAAAAATGACTGAACAGTACAGAAAAGGTGTATATATTTGCAATATATACTAGTAGTTCACAGACAAAAAAGCATACACGTTCACATGAAAAGTGAAATGAGTGTACATTTAACACTTTAATCGGCAATATTCACACGTCTTCCTGAAAATACTCGAATCTGGACCAGGCAAACACTTGGCTTAAGAGATTGGGGATGGTCTCAGGGGGTTATCAAATTTTGCCAAGAAAACGAACAGTGTTACGTTAGTTATTTTTCATGTGGGCAACCCTACCTGATTTTCATGACACCAGTCTCCTCTCCCTTAATCTCATCGTCTCACCACCCCACCATCCATGATAAATGACCAGTCCCTTGACTTCACTTTTGATAACTATTAGTGAAATATGTCAGTACCATAATCTGAAACCTTCTATATTGGCAGCTAACAGTATCTTTGCATTGACGGCAGCCAGGTACAAGCTACCAATGCAAAAAGCCAAAATGAACAAATACGTTAAACAGTATGCTAAGACGCTACGTCATTTAAGGTAAGTTTCGTTGCGATGAAATGTATTTCCATCCTTAGCGAAGGTTGCTGAATACACGTGTTACCTGTTTTCACGCAAGTAGAAAAAGAAAATATACCAAAATGATGGGTTTTTTTTCATATTCAGCCTGAAAGATATAATGCTTCAGTTATGAACGTATTGTAAAGACAAGCGCGAATAAAGAGTTTGTGGAAAGGAGGGGTACAGGTTTTATTTCATTAAAGAAAGAGAACTACTTGAAAGTGATTCATACACACGTGGTTGTACACTCTTAAAAGAAAAGAAACGCATAAGTCACTTTTAGAAGAATTTTTGCGTTTAAGAGCAATTATTTCAAGTAATTTCAATGGTAAAAGAATGAAAATTCACACGTCTATAGACAAAGTCTACAATATTGCGTCAAAGTCAGTACTTTTAATGACCACCATTGGCAGCAATTACTGCTCGGCACTGTCTCGGCACAGACTGGTTAAGTCGCTCTTGCGGAAGTCTTCCCCACTCTACCTGTAATGCGATGGCAAGTTGTGGAAGTGTCTGATGCGTGTTTTGACGTTGACGTACACATCGATCGAGTTCATCCCATAAGTGTTCTATCGGGTCTGGATCTGGTGATCGGGAAGGCCATGGCAAGACATTGACATTAGAATTGGCAAGGCAGCAGACCGAGACACGTGCTGTATGTGAAGTAGCGTTTTCGTGCTGAAACAACTCCCTCTGTCGATCCATAATCGGAATCATGTGACGTAAAAGGAATTTGTTGATGTACCAATTTGCTGTCAAATTCCCCTGAACCACCACTAAATTAGATCTTTGTGTATCTCAAACCACACCACGACACTGCCTCCACCAGACTCGCCTCCAGTTTTTAAGGTGCCAGTTCCGTACCACCGTAAGCATTTGTGCCGATGAAAGTCTCTCAAAACAGGGGCGACAATTGACCTTCTTGGTCGAATCCCCACTTTACGAAATCGATTCCTAACAGTTTTGGTCTGAATTTCTTCTCAAACCAGGGATGCGTTGTGCAATCTCCACATGACGCAAGTCAGCAACCCGGATGTAGCGGTCCTGGGCTTGGGTAGTAACTCTTGGACGGCCGCTTCTCGAGCGATCTAGGGTGGAATTGGTTTGCAGTTAAACGATCCCAAAGGCGAGATCCCAAAGGCAACTGCAGTCTGCGACTCGCCATCTTTAAGGTGGCCTATGGCGATGTTGCGATTGGCGGCACTCAGTCGTGACATGATGGTTTCCTCTTTTCCAGGCAAAAACAAATGACAAAATTAAACACAACGTTTGCATTTACATAGTGATCGGTATCGCATGCTTTTCCGCTTACTTGCACGGGCATTTTGCTTTGCATGTTTTCTTCGTTTTGGGGAATATTTCTTAAAATGCCTGTAAAACAATGGGAAAACCGAAAAATTGCCGCGTTTTTGCGCTGAAGCTATTTACAATCACACAAAGATGATGTTTTGGAAAGTAATAGAATATTTGTATTGTTGTTGCCGCAGCTACATACGTCAAATATTCTCAAAATCACCTATGCGTTTCTTTGTTTGAAGAGTGTATTAGGTATACAGTCTGAATCATACTATGGATATTTCTTACACTTACTGAAATGAGTTTGTCTTAAATATTTGACAATGATGCCACAAAGAGTGAGTGAATTTGGATTTTACGCCGCTCTCAGCAATATTCCCCCAAACCGAGGGAGACACCAGAAGTTTGCTTCACGCATTGTACCCATGTGGGATATTTAATCAGGGGCTACGGCGTCACGAACCGCTTTATTCCGCCAGGCCACCCTACAGCACCAACATGATATACAATGACATCGATTCGTTTTTACAGACTGTTACAGACGGGGGTGCTTCTAGTTTCTACTCCAAAGTTCACCACATTACGAGGCAGCTGGCTGGAAGACACAAATATCCTCAAGGTGACTCAGTGGGAGACTATGGATCTTTACTTTGAGTACAGACGCAAAAGAAAAACGGGTAAATATGTTTGTGATCAACCTTCAGGATTCAGAGCTTTTGGTGATAAGTTGTCATCGAAGCAACAGTATTTCAGCCTGAAATATATCGCCCCACTTGCTTAGTCTGGGAACTGGAACGTTCTTTAGAAACGTTTATGAAATGTACCGTTCAAGATTATCAGGGAAGGCCTAGTTACTCATAATGCTGCAAAGCATTATTATGTAATTACTTTTTGTCCTGAACAATCCTTGTCCATCTCACTATAAAGATAATTCTTTTTGTTATCTAACGCTCTAAAATCTAAATCAACATTCCAGCTATATGGCGGCGGTCTGTATATAATCAAGTCTCAACCAGACAATCCAATGATTAACATCCTGACCACGCAAGTCAGCGAATCTCAGTACTCCGGCTCAGCAATTTGTCGTAACTTACGACAGGCATGGGTTGCTGAAGACCAATTCTAACCCGGATCTTCACGGGTCTCACTAAAGAAGTGATGATTGAGGACTAGATGTGCAATGTTATGGCACTGGGTTCAAGAAGACGTCGGTAAAAGGGTTGTATTGCTGGCAAGAACCTGTAGTTGATTATAGCATCCAAAACCATACCATAAACATGTCAACTCTCACGTTAAAACATTGCATTTCGTCCACAGCTCCCTTCAAAGAAGCATGTGATTTGCTCGAAGAAATAATGGGCATACCGCCAGCAGTTATTTTCCAATCTGAGAATTTGTCTCTCTTTCAAATGACATCAATACAAATGACTGAGAGATCTGACAGCCCAGCCGTTGAATTCCAGTCACAGAATACTCAAGCTCAAGCTAAAAGCAATGCTGCAGGGGATGTGAGCAAGGCTTCAGGGGCTGTGGCTTCAGGAGAACGACAGGCAGAGTCTACAAGATCTGAGAGCCCAGCGGTCGAGTTGCAGTCAGAGGATATCGATAATGCTGAAACCCAAACTCAAATTGAGGCTTCAGGTGATGTGAACGAGGCTTCAGGTGATCTGAACGAGGCTTCAGGGGATGTGAACGAGGCTTCTGGGGATGTGAACGAGGCTTCAGGGGATGTGAACGAGGCTTCAGGGTGTGTAAACGAGGCGACAACGAGGCTTCAGGGGATCGACAGGCAGGAGTGTCTACAAGATCTGACAGCCCAGCGGTCGAGGTGCAGTCAGAGGATATCGATAATGCGGAAACCCAAACCCAATGCGAGGCTTAAGGTGATGGGAATGAGGCTGAAGGGGGAAATCAGGAAGAAACTGTTGACATGAAATCCCCAATAGCAGACTTATCGTAATGTATTTGAAGATTTGCCGCAGGACGTAAAAGCGTTCAAAATATGTTAACGGGCAATTGCAAGTGACATTTGTGGGAAGGGTCATTTCGTGTGGGGCTGCCTCCATGGTGTAGGGTCGTCCGCCCGGGGTCGCGGGTCGTGTGTTGTTACAGGCGAATTTGTTGTTTGTTGAATCTTAAGTCCAGGGAAGGCTGGGGCTTATTGACCTATTCCAATACATGTATAGTAATGGTCGCTTGATTATCCGTTCACCCTGTTGACTGGAAATCACTTGGTAATACCCATTCTGTACAGATGGAAGGATATAAGTAGATCCAGGAACTGGAGACTGGTTTCCAATATGATGTACAAGGAGTGTTCGTATGTATTACTGCAACCAGTGTGCTTGTCATTAAAGTGTCTGTGACATTTATTTGTGTGCTACCTGTAAATAGCGTGAAGGTCACCTGTAAATCATGTGACTGTGACCTGTAATTAATGTGACTGTGACCTGCAGTTTGTTTCACTGTGACACCCTGTTTCTAGGCATGATAAACAGTATGTCCAATTAGTGTTATTCTGTGTTACTACGACCGATAATTAGTGTGCTTCTAACCTGTAATTAGTGCGCCTGTGAAAGTAATAAACGTGACAGTTACCTGTAAAAAGTATTGCTGTTACCTGAGAATCATGCGGCTGTGATCTGCAATTAGTGTGACTGTGACACCTGTAATCAGTGTTCCCCAGACTAGTGGTTAGCGTTACTGTGTCCTGTAATTGTCCTGTAAACGCAATTGCTACCTTTAAATCCGTGACCTGTAAAAAGCGTGACTGTTTCCTGTACTTTGTGTTACTATGAGCTGTAATACAATTGCCTGTGACGTGATCGTAGTTGAGTGATCATAGGTTAATGTGACTTAAAGTATTATTGTTATCAAAGACTATTGTGACTGTTATCATTGGCTAATCTTACTACCATAGGAGGTAGATACAATTGTGAGTTTATCAATGATTTTCACGCAAAATGTAAATAACGTTGATACCTGTACATAGCGTGACTGTTACCTTTATTTTGTGTGACTGTAATACAACTGCCTGTGATTTGTAATGTGTGTGACTGTGATCATAGATTTAAATGTCTCTAATCAGAGGTTAATCTTACTGCCAGATGAAGTGAGTGAGTTTAGTTTTACGCCTGACTCAGCAACATTCCAGCTATATGGCGGAGGCCTGTCAGGACCAGACAATCCAGTGATCAACAACATGAGCATCGATCTGCGCAATTGGGAACCGATAATACCAATTATTATCATGCAAAATTCAGCAACCGACTTACTAATGATTTCAGAACCACATCTCAGAGCCTTTCTTATGGTTTACACATATGCAGTATGTTTCACATGATCGATGATAAAGAAATCCATTGATCACCCAGTGATTTTTCCAGTTTGAAATATAAGCATCCATTCGCTCACTTGTTATTGATACATGTTACAGAACATGTAAGGCAACAGGCTGTCCCCCAAACGAAATGTTTTAGCTATTCATCCATTTGGTTTACAACAGGGATGTATGTTGAGTCCAATGTTATTCTCAATATTTATAAATGCTTTTTGGTTTGGTTTGGTTGTTTAAAGCTGCACTCAGCAATATTACCGCTAGACCATGATGGCCTGTAAACAATCGAGCGTGGACCAGATAATCCAGTTATCAACATCATGTGCATCGATGTACACAATTCGGATGCGGTGACATGTGTCACCCGATCCCGTTAGTCGCCTCTTACGACAAGCAGAGGTTGCTGCACACAAATCCTAACCTATCTTAACGGATTATTTATATATGAACTTTTAGTAGTAATCACAAATTATGGCAAACATAGAATACAATTGTTTCAAGATATACTTGGAATTCTAATGATGTTATTTTCGGATGATGTAAATCTTGTGTGGTCTTCAGTGTAGTTAGACACTTGAGAATCGTATGCAGATAAGTGGGGAGTAACTGTAAATTTAGATAAATCTAAAGTTCCAGTTTTTGGGAGAGGTAGGAAATTAGCTGTTAAGGAAAACTGGTTGTATGGGAGTAAAATTAAAACGGTAAACAGTTACAAATATCTAGGTTTTGTGTTCACTTGTAATTTTATCTTAGACAAGTGACCTTTGAACTTTAAAGTCGTAGCAATAAAGGTTTAGTGGAATTAGCTATAAACGTAAGGAAATTAGAACCCATACCTATGGAAGTATTTTTAAATATTTGACACGCAAATTCAGCCAAGATATTTTTACGGGTCACAAGTTTGGGGATTAAAATATAGGAATGCATTGAAAAAACTCGCTTACAGGCATGTAAATAATTCTTAAATGTCGGTCTGCAAACACCAAATGCTATAGTATACTAGCCACATAAAGAAACTGTGCATTGTCAAAATACGATAACAATGTCAAAGGTACATATAAACTTTAATGGAGGGATTATGAGACCATAACAAGTCGGGAGAATTTCAACTGAAAAGTCAATCACAATGACGTCACGAGTGCACAAGCGGGACAGGGGTCAAACGACCATGTCACAAGCTCAATAACGGGTATGTCCACCATCGGCATTGAGAACAGCAGTGCATCGGCGACGCATAGAGCCTATCAAACGTGCAAGGAAGGCTTGTGGGATGTCACGCCAGATTCTCTCAAGTTCTGTTGCAAGGTCAAGGACGTTATCTGGCGGATGAGGAAGACGGCGTAGATGTCGATCCATCTCGTCCCAAACATGCTCTATCGGGGAGAGATCCGGTGAATTTGCAGGCCAAGGCAGTAAGTCAACGTTGTGTTGTTGCAAGAAATCCATAGCAACCCTTGCCGTATGAGGGCGGGCATTGTCCTGTTGGAATGTTAACCCAGGGCCATGACGTTGCAGAAAAGGAATTGCCACAGGACGAAGAATCTGATCCCTGTAGCCCACACCAGTTAAGTTGCCCTGAACAATCACCAAAGGAGTTCTTTGGCGTGCTGTTATTCCATCCCAAATCATCACGGAACCACCACCAAAGCGATTCCTCTCCAAGACACAGGCCTGTGCATAACGTTCTCCCACGCGTCTATAGGCACGTTGACGTCCATCACTATGGGAAATGTTAAACCTGGACTCATCTGTAACAACAACATTTCTCCACCAAAACAAGGGTCTGCGGACATGATTTGTCGATGACGTTGTGTCAGGATAGGCCGTATGGCGGGACGTCGTTGTCTGATCCCGTGATGATGTAAACGTTGTCGAACTGTGTTGGGGTGGATACGGCGAAGTCCTGGGATGGTTCGGGCAGTCATCACTGCAGTCTGAAACCTGTGGAGAAGATTGGTCACCCTTATCCTAATTTCCTGTCTTGGCGTTGTTACACGTGGACGTCCAGAACGTGGCCGATCGATGACGTCATTTGTGTTCTGGTAGCGTCTCACCAGTGCAGAAATGGTGTTCCGGTGGCAGTGGAAATGTGAAGCCACTTGTCGTTGAGACATTCCCCCACGGACCATCCCAATGGCCTCATGACGTTGTGCAGTCGTGAGCATTGGCATGCTATGCGTTTCAATAACCGGTTAATTTTTTGAACGATCGCAAGGGCAGGGGTTGAGCTTTCCAAAGTGACAGTATTGTGTGGCATTCATTTGCTCTAGTTCTCTTTCCCGGATACACGTGCAACAACGTATTGCACGTCTCAAGGACGAACCCACTGACGTCACGGAACGTGGCACGTGCATGCATGTCACTAATCTTGAATCTTGAATCCTTATGTATCTACACAGGTTTGATAAATTTAGATTTTAAATTTTTGTATGCACAGTTTCTTTATGTGCCTAGTATATATAAATCAAAAATCAAAAATCAAATTCTCCGAACTCGTCATGCGGCACCCGAACTGGAGCGGCTTAAGAGGACTGACTTCTACAGAGCATAATGTTTTATTTATACAAAGAAAACCAGAATGCTGAGACCCCACCACAAGAGGAAGAGTACGAAGACCATCATGTCCAAAGAATGCGTTAATATCATTTGTGGTCTGAGATGTGTCGGAACAGGAAGGGGTTACGTTTCTGTGGCTGCAACAAGGTCTTCTGTTGATGACGAGCACTGTGGTGATGATGGCGAGAGAACTCTGAGTGAGAATTAAAATCAGATAGACAACCATTCTTGACAGGGATCAAGACTTCGGCAATATATCAATGATAAAGACCAGAAGCACCGAATAAGACATGTATATAGAGATGAGGTACGACATCCTTTCTCCTGTGTCGATGGGCACTAGGAATGAACCATCGTTCAGGAGAGACAACAGACACATAGGAAACAAAATGTTAGTCACGTACAAAGTTGACTGATGTTCTATTTGTATCTTGTAGAAATTTGTATTTGATACAGTTTCCGATGATGCGTTTACAATGTGCCTCTCAGATACGTTTATGGTCGCAGTAGGCACAAACGTCCAAACAGATGGTATAATTTATCATAAGAAATGGAGAATAAATCATCTGACATCTCTGACTATCAAATGGAAACATCATGCTATCAACATTGCAAGTGGTTTGGAAGGTACTCGCAACTCTCGGCTAACCGGTCCGTCATTATTCACAACCAAAGGGGTATCACCTTCAACAAACGATCTTGAGCTGACACTGTTGGATATGAGATGCTTTGGTGACTAGACATCAGTGGGAGAGAGGATAATGACTGGAAGTCCGTCATAAGTGTTCGTATTCCACGCCAAACCAGAATCAGCCAATTGTGAGAAAAACTTTGCAGAAAATGTCGCAACAGAGTTAGCAAATTGTAGTCAAAGAACGGGAAATGGCCAATATATGCGAGTGATGTTAAGAGGTTGGAAATCTCTAGTCGTAGGTAATATCTCCGGAGAATAGTTTGTGAGTAGTTTTCTTCGTAAGACTTTACGTATCGCTCGATTGATGGTGATACTCAACTGAAGATTCACGATCACCACCAACAGAGTTACGACTAAGGCAGAAAAAGGCATGGCAGAGCAGCTGCAGATGTAAGATGTCACTGAGGAGCGATTAATTTAACTCTTGGTTTGTCGAAATGCATTTACTGTGG